AAAGGTCTAACATGTATACAGTGCTAATCACCTCCAGAACAACCTTAATTGTGATCCTTAAAAGTTCAGCGCTGCCGTTTTTGTTTCCAAAACTGCTTTAAGTCTGCCTTCCGGGATTCAGTCCTCCTCTCCTGAGTCTTCCTCTCCACAAACACATCCTCAGACAGCTAAATTGTATGATAGCTGCCTGTCAAGGAAGGAAGGGCTTCTGTGTCATTGCAGCCATATTATGAGATGATCCTGGTCACACATAGGAATAGGTTGAAACTTTGAAAATAGACATACACTGTATCTGGTGACAAGATGGTCTGGCTTTACTACTTGTGGCTAACTGAAAGCTGGGGTTTGTCTGTATTTGTTTACACGTAAGGGCTTTGAAACCACCTGTAGTAACCGGGCAGATGTGAAACTCTTTCTTCTTTCCTCTCGTATTACAGCGCTCCACTTTTCTATATTTTCACTCACTCTCTCGGGAACTATAAACTAGCTTCATTCAATGCATAGACAGATTTCTGTTTAAAAGGTGAGTTACATTTTATTGGCAACACTGAAACAACCACGCTGAAAACCATAAACGCACGTTGGAGAACTCCAGGCTCTAAATCAAGCTGTTTCTTATTTAGGCAACTTCCATTTGTGAAGTGCAACTGTGTCGTTTCTTTTTTAAGTTTTCTGCAACTGGAGAGGGATGCATGTCATCACTTTTATGCCAAGCCTAATTTTAGTCTTTCACCACCACAAAACCATACTTATTTCTTAGTAGTTTCCCAAATTACCTCCATTGTGTCAAGATGTACGGAACAGATACATGGCGGAAATCAAAAGGTATTTACTTTTGCATATTCAGGAAGCTGTACATTTTGAATTCAGTATAAGTATTGTTTACTTCTGTATCTCTCAAATAGAGCTACACTTTGTTATTATCATTACGTTGATAATCTGGGGTTGTCTTTTCCTGGGTTTAAAGAATACAGTAAAAAGAGGTCATTTTCTGAACCCACGAGATTCTTTTTAGCTTTGCTATTATTTGCCTTTCCTCCCTTTTTCATTTACACAGTACTGATGGTTACTTATCAAAATGCTCAGTGTGTAAATATTTAGTGAGAGAACCAATATCCACCCTATCATATTGTCTCCATCAAACAAGAATGTTGTGATATTTGATTTGCTTCCATATCGCCCAGCCTTTCTTAGTCTGCATCACTTTTTCCATGTGTTTGATCCCTCACTTGTCTTGGCTCACAGTAGGTCTTCTCCTCACCCTCTCACATTGCCTTGCTCTAATCCTGCGCTTTAAGCTCCTTTGGTAAGGGTTTGAATAGCTGTGATTTTCCTCCTGCTGTGAAATGACAAGACACTCAGCCTTTGCAAAAGCTTCTGTTGTAACTGACAACACTGACAAAGAGTAACTCAGCGCTTCTATGGTCTAGCCGACTCTAAGTGATGCATTAACGGTTTGTATCAATAACACTTAGAAAGCAGAGAAACTAAAGGGATGTCGTCATAAGAACGATAATGTCATTACTCGAGGAAATATTTAACTGGCTAAGAAGTTTACCTCTTAGTGTTTGTTCAAGGCTCCTTAATACTTAAAACAACAAATATGGCCATTAAGTGTTAAAAGGTCAACCCCGGATGTGTTTCCGTCCACTTGTTCTCATTTCTAAATGTGCTCATTAAAAAACCTGAGTGGATATGCTGCTTGGAGCACATTTTTTAAATAAAACGATTTTGAAAAAAGCTTTGGCAATCCGCTGAGGTGAATAAGTTGATGTCGAGTTAAACGCAACATGTGACACAGTGCAAATGAAACAGACTTAGGGTAAAGTAACTTAAATCTCCACTGAAGCTTGCATTCCAAGAAGAAACTAAAATGTGTGAAAACCAAGAGAATTGTTTGACTGGAGTCTTTTGAATTACTTTGACTCGTTGCACCCTTTCTCTTGGTTTCTGTGCAGTAGTTTAATGACACCTGACAGGAGGATTACTGCCACCATGTTAGTGAGGAACCTCCTAATATTCACATCACAGTAGTGGCTGGAAATGCATATGACTTGAAAACTTATTTTGCGCTATATTTGGATGGAAACTTGACTAATGTCAACACAAGGGAAATTGTAACGTCTCCGTTTACTTTCTTCTGACTGAGTGATGTCGACCTCTCTCCAGTGTATCCCCTTCCATTTCAAACAATTAACTCTCCCAGTTCAAGATTGTTTTAACAGGTGCCTTATTGGAACACACAGCCTTGCGCACACACTTAAATCTAATAATCCAGACCAATTTAACCATAAAGCTGTCGCGGGAGAGGGGAAACAGCCATTTCCTCTCTGACCAAAGCCGGGCGGCAGCGCCAACACCAAAGCCGCACACTTCAGTTCACCTTTTGAGCTGTGTATTTGTGTGTCAGGGCTTAGGGAGTATGTGGTGCAAGAGCACTCTGCCGCTTCCTGCTCTGTAATGGTCAAATGCCACTGGCTCAACAGTGTTTCTCTTGACAAACTAATACACACTTGTGGAGAGGTCAGTCCCTAGTGGAAGCCACATCCTGTTCACTGGAATTGCTTTGAGTACTTCAGTGCTGTGTAACATTTTTAACGAAACATTTCCAGCATTGCTCATGAAGTTAGTTAGTTTGAACCTTTTCGTTTTCTCTATTAAAGCTCACATAGTATACTTGCAGTCACTCTACAGCTCCCTTGGAGTAGTTTGAGGGTTAAACGAGGGTGGAGTGTTAACTTTCCCTCTCTTGTCCATCCTAACTGGTGGAGGTTTGAGTTGGTGACCTTTCAATGTAAGCAACTTCCCACATTCCTAAACTCCTAACAGCACCCACAACGCCCTCCCTCCTCACAGGCCTGAATCCTTACATACTAATTGCTCATCCATTACTCAAAACCACCTGTACTCTGCCTGTTGTCTGAATATGTTCAAAGAGATCCCCACCCTGTGACATTTGTGTCTACGCACACACCGGGTCATTGCAGTGTAAAGCGGAGGGGCGTGTGTTGTGTGTCATTAGCTTCTCCCCTTCCTAGAATAAAGAAAAAAAAATGCATCACTCTCTTTTATTCGGAGTACACAGCCGCGCACACATCCAAACAGCGCTGCTAAATAGATTCCTGGCAAACACAAGCTGTGTTGACAGGAGAGATGAGCTGCTGTTCCTGTCGCAGCTTGCCGAAGGCACAGAGCCGGGCCCTCGTTCAAAAAGAGCCGCCACTGTTAAAGCCACAAAGCCAGCAGACTTGTTGCTACTGCCTCTGCCAACACACACAAATACAAACACACACACACACACACACACACACACACACACACACACACACACACACACACACACACACACACAGTCGTGCATAGCTGCATCAAAGGCGGTCGGGCGGGTGTTTGACTATTTGAACAGGTGATTCCCATTTACATCTGCTGACTGTATTGGCTTCATGCCTTTAGGAAGTCACACCGTCAGGCGAGTCAATCATGCACTCCTAGTTGCACGATCGTTTAGCTTATCATTGGAAGTGATGTAGTAAAGGGGACTGATTTGTTGGAGGTGTAATCTTCTCAACTAAATTGAGTTAAGAAATCTGAAATGAGTTTTCATTTGCAAGGGCTATAGATCCTTTACAGTTTTTGTAAGTTACTCTCTTGTCTGATCAGTGGCTGTTCTTCTAGTATGACTGAGTTGAATAATTGCATTTCCCCCGAGCTTCATCATTTTATTGAGATGGATTCGTCGGCCTATCTGACAGATGCCCTGGTGACTGATGATGATTGCCAAGTTGTAATTTGAACCATTTCCATTCAATTGCCATATTTAACAACGCATGTTTAATTGGGACATGGTTTTTGAGGTTTTGGATTTCCCAACCACACACCACAACAGCAGATACTTAATGTAGGCCACGCAACATCAACCTACACTCTACTGAAGTTTATGAATGTGCATCCTGTCTGATGGGTGCACACGCTGTGATCAAGAGGCAATCAATTAATATTTAAAGCTTAAAGGTGGGGTAGGTCATTTTGGAGAAAGCAGCTCGAGTGCGCTAGAATTTGAAAATACACAACCGGAACAAATCTGCCACTTCCTTACAGAGCCCCTCCTCCAACACACACGAACGCGCACATGACCAATGAGGGCACGAGATAAGTTTGTGCACAGATGGAAGGCTGACAGGCAGGTAGGCCATCCAGTTACTTTAGCCGGGCCGGCTAAAATGATTGGTCGTGCTTTTTACAGTACCACGGCTTCCACAGATGACATTTTTGTATGGATTTTTAGTCAAAGCACTTAAGATATTCATTGCTATCGGGATGTTAAGAGCATTCCATGGAATATAACAAAAGTGTATCTCGAGCCGGTTTCTCAAACTTACCTACCCCACCTTTAAATCATTTTTCTCTCTGGTGACTGGTTTCAAAACCGATGGAAACAATATGCATAGTAATTTCATTTATTTTAATTATTGAAAATACGTTTGTATCTGCTGTTACTTGAAAGATACTACACTACATTTTCAAAAGTGTTTTTGAATAATCGTTTTTTCCCTAAAACGAGACAAATAATCGTAAAAACAACAGTAATAATAAGCTCCTACATATTAATCAGTCTGCAACCCTTTCCCCTACAACTAATGAAACCTTTAAAAGGTAGACTGTAAAGCACTCCGGGGCAGCTGCACCCCTCACCCACTGCTTGATTCCCCTCCTACCTCAGTAATTACCAATGTCCTGCGAGCCCCTCACCCTGACTTCATCCATTAAAGGCCCAAAAGCCATTTCCCTAATCAGTGCTGGTAGGGGTCTGGCTCCTGGTTGGCTTCTGTGTTTTATGTCAGTGTTACAGAGGATAATCTCACTTTGATGTTGGGTTGGTAAATTGCAGTTGACCGTCCACCGTGGACGTGCCATTTATGTATTTATGTTGAAAACCACTAATTCACAATGTACTCTTTTTTCCCCCCATGTTCCTGTCCATTTCCTTACCTATAATTCAGAAGGGGACAGAGGGTTTCTGGAAGTCGGTGGCTCACTATGTGCCTCGGGAGCCCACAGAGATGAGAATCCTTAACCCCTACTTCATCCAGGAGGCTGCCTTCCAGTTCATTGGCCTGCCCTTAAACAACGGCCTCATGGGCAAAGGGGTAAGACACATGCAGGCATCAGTGTAACAATATCATTTAGAATAATCTACAAGTGATAGTGTTCAAACTTAACTATTGAACTGAGAAATGTGGATGCTGGTCTGCTGTTTCATGGTGCATATGTCCTTTATTTGATCAGGTATGTGTATCACTCATGTAAGAGGGAAACCGTAGTACCAAAGCTATATCATTGGGATGCCGTTTTTGTCAAGTTTCACAATTTTTCTAAAGTTCTAAAGGATCTGCTCGCCAGTATTTTACTCTAGTATGTTTGTCCTTTAGTTTTTGTTTCTGGAGGACGTACTTTACCTCTGAGTGGCAGTATTTCTTTCAGCGTTATCAAAATAAAAGGAGAACGAAAGTACATTTAAGAGGAAATACCAAACAATTTCTGATTGTTGACATTACTACAATATAGAAAAACCTGCTTCAACCCTTGTTTGAATTGTACAATACTCCATTGTTTTTTTTAATGTTAGAAGTTAAGGTATGTGCTTTGTTAATGAAACATGTTTGTCTGGACTTGAGATGGTGACTCAGGTCTTGACCAGAGAACATTTTGTTGGATAAATACAGTTTCTTAACTGGTGCCAACAACCAGGCTGTAGGAAAATACAATGATTATGAAGATGTAATGCTAAAGGGTAATATTAGAGGACTAACTCAGAGAATTGGAGAGATGTGAGGAGTGTATCACCGTACCTTTGCCCTCTGGGGCCACCAGAACACCCCTGCATGAACTCCGCTCCGCAACATGTGTTCAACATGTGGGCATCTGGCCTAAGAGTGTGTGTGTAGGAGAGAGAGTGAGAGGGTCATTTGTGTGTGCACGTTTGTATTTGTGTCTGGGTGTTTGCAGCGCTGTCTCATTCAATACAGGCTGCAGAGTTGTATGATTTGGCACATTCTCTCCCCAGCACACTCTCCTGTCCGTCTTCTGACCACCGTAGTTTATGTTTATGTATGTGGAAATTAATGAGCAGGCCTATTTGTTATCCCAGTGTTTATGTTGAGTGTGTGTGCGAGTGTGTGTGTAAATTCATCTGTATTAGAACACGCAGTAGGAGGTTGGCCAGCTGCTGGTTCAGCTCCACCTACCCCGAGGGCTGCAAATCAGGGTAATGATTTAAATGGGGCCTCCCTCCGCTCTTTCTTCTGCACCCACTTTTTTTTTCCAACATCCACACACACGGCCCCCTGTACCCCCCCAGATCTGTGGCAGCCCGAGGCGGTTAGGAAGCACAGTTCAACCCTGTAGATCAGTGTGTCGTAGCAGGGGTCGCGTCTTAAAGGTAATAGTTAATCACCAAGTGCTCAAAGTCAGTTAGCCGCAGTGGAGCAGAACAAAGACAGAGGTACACGGGAGGGGGGGGGGCAGATACATGAGAGGGGTCGGACATCTGTCTCTGTGTCAGAAACCATGATCAGTTTCAAAACGGTCCTGAAAATGATCATACTGCACATGTTTTTGTCATCATTAATCATATAATAAATCATAGAAATGCTCCTGGCGTATGACAGACTGCATCTCTGTTTTATTTTATTCCAGAACATTCCAACTTTGGGAACAGTTGCTATAACGATGGCGCTGCATAACTGCGACGAGGTTGCGGTGGCTGGTTTCGGCTACGATATGAACACGCCCCACGCGCCTCTGCACTATTATGAGACCGTCAAGATGTCTGCCATTAAAGAGGTGAGTTCTGAGCACCGCACTTACTTTTGATGTGTTTCGGTGAGAGCCAATGAAAATGTACAAATCTGTTCTACAAGAATGGCACATTTGTACGTTATCACGGCACTTGGCTGTAACATTCTCTCCATGCTAATGAGAACAATATTTTCTGGCTTCTCCCTGGCCACTGTAGAATAACTGAAGAAACAAATGACTGTAATCTTTGATGAGGCGGGACCACCACTCCTGTGGAGGAGAGGTGAACTGGCCTACAGCCAAAATGCATTCACTACAAAGCCCTCACTGTTTAGGCTGATGGTGATATTAGTGTAAGAACTATGCATGAATTGAACTTCTCAGCTCTTGTATTTGCATCCAGAGATATGAGCGTTTCAAAGTTTTCAGCATGAACATTGTAGCACAACGTGGGGAGTCGCACTAATAGCATCTGTCTCAGGCTGATCAGATGCTCGTTCTGACAGATGAAGTCATTCATACATACACAATATAACTGTTAAGGTGGGAGGGAAATGATCTGCGGTGTGTTGCAGTTTCGCCTGTAGTGCTTTTTCTATATACAATAATTGTTTTATAATTTAAAGTATGCATTAGGGCTGAACGATATACCGTGTTTGGCTTGGGTTTCAATTTAAAACAAACAAACTGTGGGGTAAACGAAAACTTAAAGAACAGTTACACAAGGTGTAAAAGCTGTACCTGGTACATTGAACTGTTTAAGGATCACGGCCAAGTTATAGTATCAACATATCGGAAGCCTTTTTGGCAAGCTGACATTTTAATGAAACATCTATTATGGTAAACATGCAGGAAAATGCCTGAGCGAGTAGTTAATCAATAAGAATTCATCTTTACGAAAACAAATTAAAGGGGCCCAAATATCATTTTGGGGTTTTTCCTGAAGTGTGTCATATAGGTATTTGTGCAATGGTCTGCAAAAGTTAAAATCCCAAACTTCCCTCGAAGAATCGCCTCGATTGGACTCCTTTGTTTACTTCTGTTAGATTGTGACATCACTATATATGACTCGCGTTTCTATTGGCAAGCGCTCCAACACATTGTACATCACGTACAGGTTAAGGGGCGGGATATTTCTAAGCAGTTGACCAATCACCACAGAGCCGGCCAGCTAACCAATCAGAGCAGACTGGGCTCTGGTTTCAGACAGAGGGTGAAAAGAGGTGCTGTAACACAGGCAGTATGAGACAAATAAAGAGCTTTTTGAACATTAAAGCATGGACACATGTCACAGTGGAGGCACAAAATACAAATATTAAAATATAAGAAAATTAGCATAATAAGGCCCTTTTAAAATGTTGACTAAATGGGAATAATATTATTTCAAATATAATTGTATAATGCAAAAAGTTTAGTTTTCTAAGGTATAAGGTACATAAATCCTGCTGTTTTTTATTGTGTGTGGTTGTTAATGTGTTTTAATGTAGCACAGGTTTGTTCAATGCTATATGTGCATCTTTTTGTATTCTCTTACATTAGGGGTACTGAGGACACAAAACTGTATATTACACTAAAACTGAATTTAGTAACTCTAATAAATAAAAACTAACTATAAGAAAAAGGTCAAATCTGTATTTCCCCCACGCTGAAGCGACACTGGTCTTTCATCAGTCGCTGCATCGTACTCTAAACGGGCTCATGACGGATCTCTCTCCTCTCCATCAGTCAAGTCTTCCTCTCGGTGTTTACACTGAAACCCAGTGGAATCAAAGATGTCACCCGTGTGCTGACGTGTGTAAACCATGAGCTCAGTATGATGATAACCTTTGTCTAAACTCCCAGTGAACCTTTGGCATGTATTATCATCATCAACATGGCTATCATCAGACACACATGGTTAATTAACGGGAATACTTTTTTGTTTGGAAAACGTTTAACCACCGCCACTCCCTGGGGCTGTTTGATTCTCTGGAAGCACGTGAAGCGCTCCACTCATTGTTCCACTTCTCTGGAGATTTCTGGACCGATGCTTAAATGCTCCACGGAAATTGTGTAATTATCCAAGATACACAGAGATTGATGATTAAATGCTACATAAATCACCTTATGCAGCGCGATGCTACTAAGGTCATCTCTTGTGGTGTATAAGGCACTCCATTTACCTCTGTTATAGTTTGTGTCTCTACTGTGACATGTTTACACGCTTTAATGTTCAAAAGGCTCTTTATTTTTCTCATACTGCCTGTGCTGCAGCACCTCTTTAAACTTCTAATATCTGTAATTAGTAATTATATGTCAGTCTTGTATACACAGCTTGTTTCTGACTTTCAGACCTACCTCAAATGATAGCATTTCTTTCTGCTACAGCATAAGGATCTGCTCTGTAGAAACCTTAAGTACCAAATTGGAGAGATTAACATTTTAGATTTTCACAGTGTGTGGTTACCAGTCCAAATAATGTCTTTCCTGTATCTCATGTCGATCATGTCCAATAAAACTGTAGCTTATTGTTCCTTGTGGTCCTGCTGCGACCCATCAGGCAGTGGTAGGAGGTCCGACCCAGACAGGCTCAGTAGGAGAGGACAGAGCCGAGGCAGCTGCAGGGCCCAACCTCTCCAAGCTCTCCACTTTCTTTCCCTCTTCCTATTCCCTCCTGTATGTTTCTTCCTCCACCTTTGTGTCCTTCATTTGCTCTCTGGCTGTTCTCTGCATCCCAACGCACCACACAGGAACCACCGGCTCTGATTACATGTCGGCCCACCGGACTGGATCCTCATAGCACAGCAGGGAGGGAAGCTGACCCAGTGTGGCCTTTCATATATATATGCACATATGAACACCCACACATATAGACACTGGGAATAGGAACAATCCAATTCTAACCTACAGATTTGAGTGCATATAGCTGTAACGTTGCATTCTCACATGGATCACAGGTTATTTTCTCTATCGCTCTTGATTAGTTTTTTCTTTCTGTTTGTCCTGCAGTCATGGACACACAACATATCCAAGGAGAAGGAGTTCCTGCGCAAGCTGGTGAAGGCCAACATCATCACAGACATGACCAACGGTATCTGAGTTTACAGTCTCCCCTCGCCTTCCCCAAAGGACTATGAAACAGGAAACTGAGCAATGGATCGAACCCTTTAGAATCCGGATGGCCTGTCTTTTTCATATCAAAGGAGATTATTTAACAGGAAAAAAAAAATACAGATACAGGAGGTTTTCTGTGGAGAGATGTGCCTTCTGAACCAAAGACTCCTGCTGATTGAAGCAGGGAGCGGGGGGGTGGACACGGAGGACTGGTCCTGCCTGTCGTATCGAAGGACAGCGGCAGCAAGGCTCTGTGGCCCGGCGCCCTAAACGTTTACCACTTCATCCCCTGGAGTATCACATGAGTGAATAATAAAGAGAAGTTTGACAGATGTCGGGATCCAGCTCACTGGCTGACATGTTGAAGGGACAGAAGAGAAAGGAAAGAGGAGAGCGTTGGGGGGGGTGGGTCGATTATTAGCAGTGCCAAACGTACCTCGTTCGGGGGAGAGGCCGTCCTCCTTTTGCTGCCTGAATGTATTCACTTTCCTCAGTGTAAATATCAAAGATTTTTACTGTGCTTTTTAACAAGCTGGAGCAGCATCCCCCCCCCCCAATTGCCATTTGTCCATTCATTCACTTTTTTACTGCCTGTCTAGGGTCCAAAATGAACACTTGCCAAACCAGTTGACAGTAGATAAATCAGCGGGGGTCACCTGCCACACAGACTGCTGTCACTTCGAGTCGCTAACAGTCGAGTGGGTTACATTTGTTCTCAGTTTTCTCTGTAAAGTCTTTGTAAGGGAATAATATCAGAGGCTGTGTAAATGAGTTCTTTCTGCGACACAGAGCGGCTGTGTGAGTTATCCCCGTGTGGCTCTCACATTAGGTCCCCAGAAATATGAAGCTGAATGAGATTCTCTACACAGGGGAAATGTATATGAACTAAATTATTTTTATTTTGGGATATTTAATTTAGACGCTCCGCCAAAGTTAAATTCAGACATCTTCCTCTCTCAAGTCTCTTTGTAAATCCCTCTTCCTCTCTCCCCGGCCATGTCACAGTACTGCCTTCATCTCTTCATCAGCTGTAGAGCCTCCGGGCCGCAGCGCAGCCGCACAGCAGCGTGTCCCGCCGCGGTCAGGGAGAACACGTCCTGTATCCCTCCTCCAACTTCCCGTTGCTGCACATTTTCTTGTTCTTGGGTTAATGGTGAAATCTCGGATTGTAGAATGTAAATATATATTTTTTTGTTTTTCAGTCAATATTAATTATTTATTTTGTATTGTTGCGAAGTCTCAACTTCTTTCGGTCACAGACAGGGCTGCTTTCTGTTGTTGTTGTTGGAAGAAAAACAACAACATTTAGAATTTTCTTTTCACCACCGTGTTTCCACAGACGGCATCATCTTTTAAGTTTGTGGCAGAAGCAGTGTTGTGCGCTAACATTTATTACTGAAACGATTTGGCTAGACAGCTAACCTTTATGACCGTGTTCTAGTTAACTGGAAACATAGAAGCCCCTTTCTTTAAATCGAGGGAATCTGGGTTGATAATTTCCACGCTCAATCTCCAATGAGCACGATAGACGTGCTGAAGGTCTTTGCACTTTGCAGATGAAGGTACCACACTCATTTTAGTATTTCAACTCTGCATGCACATAGAAAATGTTCAGTATTACACAATCAATCAATGTGGTAATCATCTTTACAGTGATGGTGCATTTGAATACTGCTTCATCAAAGCAGGGATTTAAATCATCTAAATGAGGTTTTCTGTTTCTACATCTTGCATATTGACAGTACACACAGATTCTCTTCCATTCCTGTCAATCTGCTGCAGTCTGTTTCATTGTTCCATACGTTCCTGTTCCCTTACACTCTCTCTCCGCTGGGCTGTGCAGCAGCGTGTGTGTATGTCTGTGTGTGTGTGTGTCCCCGGTCCCTGTTGAGAGCGAAGGCACGGGGAACAGCTGACCATTGCACTATCACGAGGCGCTCTCAGTGCCTTACACCTCATCTCCTGGAAACTAGCGAGGAGAGCCGCCGCAGCTGATCCAGTGTCTGAGATCAGCTCCGGGTTAGGACTGGTCAGTCTTCATTTCTGTGATTTGGGACCAGTCCATTTCATATCTGTGCTGTATGTACATTATATACAGTGTGGGAAGACCTGCAGCTCCGTACTTGTTGTTTAGTGTGTTTTAGCCCAACTAAATATTCCAGTTTCTGATTACGGCAGCTTTCATGATGCGAGAAATGACTAAACCAGCTTCCTCTGTGGTTCCTTATTCCTGATTTTAGGCAGCATACATTATAGGGGCACTACACCAATGTACCAGCCTGTAGGAATCTGTAATGTCTGTAAGGTCTGAGGAAATGTAGCATATTTTGTTTGTTTGGAGTTTAACTCATATTGGGGATTTAAAGTCTGGATATTTTACTCTCTGCTGCTACGATTTTGATTCAATTCCTTTTTTAAATCGGTCTGTTGAGAGTGCAATGCCAGATCACGGGAGAACCTCTTGAATTCTTGAACGTGAACACATAGTCTCTGCCGACTGCCCCAGGACCGTATCGCTATAATGTGACTTGACAAAGAAAAAAGGAGACTGTCATAGAATATGTCCAGCACACAGGTCAGATGTATAGTGTACTGAAATGATTTGAAACAAGTGGCTCCTTTGAAGGCAGAGAAATCCATCTGAAATATCATCGTGTCTTTTGGAAAAGGTCATTAATAAAGCATGTGAAGTCAGTGGGCTAAAACACACCAAACCACCAGTACGGTCTTTAACGCTCTGAGACTAAGCAGACCCTCAGTTGGAGTTTCTTCTTCTGTTTCTTCTTCTAGGTTATGAATTTGTACGCATGCTGGAGGAGTTCAAATGAGTTGGACCCAAATCGCCTCATCTTCATAACCTGTTCATGTTAAAGCAGAATGTATTCGCTTTGATCATCGATCATATCTCAAAAGATTTTCTTTTTTTCATTCCTCCATGATCAGAAGGAAGTCAAAGTGTTACCGTTTTTTTATACAGTTATAAATGGCTCTGCAACCTAAATAAATATGTTTGTAATGGATATTTGCCTTTGCATGTTTGCATCTTTTGATCTGTGTTTTTTGTATGTGTCTTTGTATGTACATATTTCTGTACACTGTGAATTTTCAGTATATATATATATATATATAGTAAATATTTTTGATGTATTTAGTCTCTCTTTTATCTCCAAAGACATTTCCTTCTTTATTTAGTATCCTCAGAAGTCTTCTCAAAGCACATCGTGGCCTTAGGTGCCATGTATAGTTGAGTTACATCAGGTGTTCTTCTGTCTGTCACTTAGTGTCTTTCAGAGGTTACAAACGGCAGGAAGTGCACAGTAAAGATGGAGCAGCGTGACGGAGGGGATTTCCTCTCCTGCTCTGTATCTCCTACCTGCAGAGCCAGAGGAAATCATTTTTCAGTCCTCTATCAACCGGACTTCCTCCCTAATGTACTCTCCTTTTTTTCTCTAGTGTTTATATCTGTCCCTCCTGGACTCTCACTCCACTCCTCTTCACTCATTCTTTCCATTCTGCTGTCTGTTCCCATCCCGGTGCCGTGTGTTTCTTTCTGCTGCACTCTGAGGCAGATCTGGTTTCATTGCTGCAGCCACGAGGGGCCTATTGGGGACACACACAGTTAACACACATGCCATGAATCTCTCACTCACTTTCACACACCACAACTTCACCATAAACAGAGGAGCTTTACAGAAAATGAGTGAGAGCTGGCCGTCCAGCTGTGGCTGCTGTAAGTCAGTTTTTGATGTGAGGGAGAAGACGCTGAGGGCCCTTAAAGTGCCGCTGGGCCGTCCCATCCTGCTGTTAATGGGGTGCCAGAAACTCTCAGTCATGCCTCGCCGCTCACCAAAAGCACCCGGCTACTCTTGACTCGACAGATTTCATCCACAGGGCTGGATCGAATGCTCGCTGCAGGAGGATATGTGCCACCTGGGATCTCGCCGAGGCAGCTGTCCCGGCTGGAGGCGGTCGTTCCCGTTTGTCCGGCATTCAGGGGTATGAGCACGCCTGCACCTCTTCAGCCGACGGGCCTTTTATTCCCTGCGACAGGTTCCCCGCCCCACCTCCTCTCAGTTGGATTGGAACGGAGGGGCCACGACCTCCGGGGCCTGAAACTTGAACTCCTCGTAAAAAAGAGTTGGAATGAGGAGAGAAAACACCCTTTTCAGGCACCCGTTTCTTCCCCTCTGTTTACTTAATGTCGGGTCAGCTGAGATGTGGGAAAACAACATTCCCTTATTTACACAATGTCCCACATTCATCTACCTTTTGTCTGCGGACGGGACACACCTACAGGCCTGTCCTGCACATGTATCACTCAAGGGCTTGTTCGCCTGTCAGTGGCTCAACTTGCACTTCTAGACGATATATTTAGATGTATAGATTCAGAATTACACACAAGATTTAAAAGACAAGAGGACTGTTAAAAGATGTCAGTGTTCCTGATCGTCAGTCTGCCTGATTGGAACACAAACAAGGCCTCAGAGGCAACACATACGTCAGAAACATCTGTAAATTAGGAAACACTTCTCAGTCAGCCGTGGCCTTTAGGATGAAGTATGAGGAGGAGAAAGTACAACTACATTGTTTGTACAACTTTGACAGTAGTACAGAGTACTTTTTGCCACACCTTGCATAAAATACGGCAATTAAATAAATAAATGTCGTTGAAGTTTTAATCTGCCGTTCAGAAGCTTCAGCAGACATGAGTCACTTACGTCATTGTTTATACATTAAATCGGACAGCTTTTGCTTTTATTGATGCACTTATATGTATGCCACCTGAACCAATCTTGATTTGTTTTGGTGCAATATTTCAACATTTACAGGATTTCCTGTACTTTCATTCAGGTATTTTAACGCACACATTGACACTGTGAAGCTCTAGAAACGTGTCTTTTGTTGGCATGTCAGTATATAGGCAGAAGTAAATCTTTACAAACTCAGTATTGTTTCTTCGAATATACCCAAACGTTTATTTTATTCAAATTATCATTATTGCTGTCCATGTTTGAAATAGGACTGAAGCCAGAGAGACATCTGAAGTGTTACCAGTAGGCCTACACACTGTTGTACTCTCTGTGTACTCTGCTCATTCTCCATCCATCCGCATAATAACGCCTCTAATCAGGCCATGTGCCGACACTTTTCTTTATGGTTTGTTTATATGAACAGGGATACAACAAATATGCACGACGCCTGCAAGAACGCGCCTTTGAAATGCTTGGATGAAAATATAAATCACAGCAGATTTATCCGTGCTGTATTCACTCGTTTGAGCTAATGTGAAAACACGTTGTGGAGTACACATTTGTGCAGCTCCAGTCTGACGTTGACCCACAGGTTTGGCTTTTGTTTTACAGATATTGGCCTGAGGGTTTTGGACAGTGCTGGATAAGGGGAGTTCCTTGAAAAGTGAAAACAAACTTTGAGATCTGGATCAGGCCCAAGAAAAGGAAGGCACCTTAAGATGGAGAGGCACAGAAGAGACTGAGACCTGTGACCCAAAAGAAACACGAGGAACCTCAGAGGGAGTTTTAAATACAGTTAACTGTCCATCACAGCTTTCCTTAGCTTCACCAGCCAAAATCAAAATCACTCACCCTGTCCCCCATCAGGTCCTCAACTTGTAGGGACTAAGCAGCTCCAAACCAGCACCCTGCTGTATCCATGGAAACAGCTGTGTATATACCTAACAGTCAACTTTCACCGACAATAAATCAAAATATAGCGTCTTCAATTCAATTCAGTTTATATGCTTACAAGGAATTGAAAAATGCCACAGCTGCCATCATGTTCCTGCAGCTCTCAGCAGACCAAACCTGTGAATGTACTTGTGTGTTTGTTTGTGTGTGTGTGCATGCTGGAGATGCGTGTGTGTTGTGCTTGCATGGGGTGTACAAACAGTGTCATGCTGCAAATCCCTCTCACAATGCCGTACAAGTTCTTCGGCATTGCTCACCGTGATGGATGATGTAGACACACTTCTGAAGTTGTGGCCCTGGTTGCAGTGCCGTGCCGTCTGCTGGAACACAGTTTACACAGTGACTCATTTTATTGAGGACATTTTGCTCTGGAGGTTATTATCTGATCTTTTCAAGAGGAGGACTGGTATTTTTGGCAGCCAACTCGGCTTGATGTGTGTGGTATTGTGTGTGTAAGGAGTAAAAGGGGCTCTTTCTGGGTTATATTATAGGTGTACAAAGCCATCTTCTACTAAACAAGTCCCAAGTCATGGCCCTAGCAGGTCTTTCGTCCATCCTGTTGCTCTTGGGCTTATTCTTATTATGTGACGGTACATTCCTGCATGTCATGCACCTCAGCTGTGTGCATTGTTGCCTTGTTGGTTGCTATTTATAGCATCGGTGCAGAGCTCAGGGATCCTCCCTGCATTTGTCTCTGCCTCGGTGCGGAGAGTGGGCCCATGCAGAGGAGAGCGAGGAGCTGTTTACCAAGCCTTTGTGCTCCGCGGGCCTCAGTGTTTGCCCTGCAGGGAGTGCCTCAGCCGGAGGGCCTTTCCGGGCTTTGCAGGGTGGCAGGACGAACCAACCTGCAGGGTGGAGGGGGGCCGGGAGCTCAGCTGGTGGGAGGTGTGTGGCTGCGGGTGCAGTGAGCAGAGGGTCCGTGGTCCGTCTTTACTTCACTCATCCTTCAGGCCTGACAGCAGGTGCCTGGTAAAAAGGTCAGGGCAGGACTCACTGAGCAAATACATGAAGCAGAGTGGCAAACATGCATTAGTGTGTGTGTGTGTGTGTAGGCCTACAGCTGCGTGCAATCAATCACAAAAGTTCACATGGGAGGATTTCTATAAAGGTTCTACTGGGAAGGGTCTCAAGGGGTCAATGGGCCCTCAGGCCAGAGCCTCTGTTTGAAGCGACTGACTTTCAAACGAGAAATACTAACCATCAATTAAACAGGCACAGAGAAGACCAGAAGAACAGACTCACAAAGAGACACCGGCAACAAAGACACACAAAACAACCGCAAAGAGATACAAATTGACCACAAAGAGACTTGGCTGCATCTTTTGTAGTCGATCCGTGTCTCTTTCAGTCAGTCCTGTGTAGGAAGGGTGGGGGCCTTTTACATGTCTGTGCCCAGGGGCCCATTGTATCATTATCCACCCATTCATGTATATATACCCATGCTCCATGCACATGTCTGTAGTGTGCCTAAAAGTGGAATATAGTGAAACTCTCTAAATGTATGAGTCAGAAAGTGTAAGTCTGAAGGACAGATGTCACTTTCTCCCACTGGAAGTATTTTCCAGAAACGCTCCATGACCGTCCTCCTGTGTGACAATCAATCCTCTCCCTCCTCCCAGCATAGGAACAAAAAGACATCTGAGCTATGTGTTTGGATGGGGAAGAGAAATCGCAGCACTTTGTACAGCGGCCACCGCACTCCGGTTTCACAGAGCCTCTGACTGGCGGAGCGGCGCGCTGCTTTTACGCATAGCCTCCAGCCCTGCGAGGCATTGTGAACATTGTTCAGTCACTGGGTAGTAGACTCCTGAGAAGACACCGGAGCGGCACATCTCTAATAACTGGATACCTGCGGCCGAAGGAAGAGATCTTTGGAATGGAGACTCGGACTGTGGCTGCGTAAAGGCATGATGCTTGGATTTTTTACGTTTAAGTTAATATCCTGACGCGTTGTTCTTCTAGATTGAACTCCACATTTAAATCCGCGTTTCCACAGGCTGGCGCGTAAAAGAAGAAGAAAACAAGACTTCGGTTTTTAAGTGTTTCAGAGTCGTTCCTCGGACCTTTTTGAAACTCTGACGACCTTGACTTCTCTTTAAAGTGACGCAGGACACGTTGTGAGAGATTTCCCGAGTTGTTATTTACTCATTATTAACCTGGCGAGCTGTTTGGAAGCAAGACTGAACAAGTTACTGTAGGTAAGGAAAGGAAAGCGGAGTCATGCCTGAAAAACTGGCTCTAATGCATTAAACGATGGTTGGATGTGAGTCAGCAGAGACAGCACGAGCTGCTATGACAAACATTGTTTTGCTTTTGTGAATGTTTGACTTTGACTTCTCTCCCGGTCACAGTGTTGGAGTATTTATGTCACCGCATACAAACTTCTAATTAGGTTTTATAAAGGCGTCTCTCTGCATTGCTCCAGTCAGTTGTAAAGTTTCTTTTTACCTGGTCTGGATAGCCTTCGGTCTGCAAGAAGTCCATCTAAACAAAACATTCGGTCTTATAGTAAATCTTAAAAAATATATTTCTTTAGAAAATTGAAATAGATAACTTCACATATTTCCAGTTGGACACAAGATAAGCAGTGACAGATGAACACATTGACTGCTTTGCTCTTTATTTGCTTCAGGAAATGTGTTGAATTTGTTTTTATTTAAAATTAAGTACAGCCAGGTTGATATCTCGCTGGAACCATAAATCACACTTTTTAAAAGTAGCTTTAATGTTTCTTTAACTTTATATTTCGTTGTATGACATCAATTTAGATCGCAGCTTAAAATATTCCCAATCTTCCCTCTCTATGTGCTTGTCCAGGGTGCTGAGACTCTTCATGAAGCCGTGACAGGACACCGTCCAGAGAAAAAAGGATTTTTGGCCGCGCAAAAAACGAGGAGGAGGAGGCGCCTCTCGCGTTGAAGCAGAACCGTTTTAGATGGATTCTTCATGTTTGCTTCAGCCTCAGTGGAGACAGCCTGCTCTGAACACTTCCGAGCCGTGACAATAAGGTGTAAAACATGACACATCGCAGCGTATGGATAGCCAAAAACATGAGCTGCTCCCAGCGTGGAAGAAGCGGCTCTGTCCTATCCGGTGCGCGCTTGGAGCAGAATGCGCACAGGACATCTGGTAAGGGGCCCTTCAGATTTTATAAAGTTGCCTTGAATGTGATTTAAACCATTTTAAACAATATTGCTGGATATTTTGTTCATCAGTAATGGTGCAGTGAAAGCATACCTCCTCTTGTCTTCTGTGTTTGCTGTGACAACACTCTTTGATGTTTGACTTCTTTTCACGTCTATGCCTTTCTGCTCAGCACACGCACCTGCCAGCTGTCTTATAGGCTCCTCTGACTCTGGGGGGGACTGTGACCTGGATTCAGCGTTGTAATTAATTTAGTGTTTATTGGGAGTGACACGCATCCCAGGAGGAGAGTGGTGGAGGTGTTTGTTCTCTGTGTTTTATGAAGTGAAGTGTTATGGTTGAAGTGTTTACAAAGCGCCACGAGGTGAGTTGGAATTGTGTGTGTGTGGTGTGTGTGTGTGTGTGTGGCGTGTGTGTGTGCGTGTGTGTGTGTGTGTGTGTGTGTGTGTGTGTGTGTGTGTGTGTGTGTGTGTGTGTGTGTGTGTGTGTGTGTGTGTGTGTGTGTGTGTGTGTGTGTGTGTGTGTGTGTGTGTGTGTGTGTGTGTTGTGTGTGTGTGTGTGTGTGTGTGTGTGTGTGTGTGTGTGTGTGTGTGTGTGTGTGTGTGTGTGTGTGTGTGTGTGTGTGTGTGTGTGTGTGTGTGTGTGTGTGTGTGTTCATATGGATGAGGAGAAAACAGTGGCTGCCAGGAAGTGTTCAGTGTGATCCTCCTCACACACACATACATACATACATACACACGCACACACACACACACGAGGAAATTACATTGACTTTACATTCAAATGCAGTTTTCCCTCAATATATGAAAAGATGTCTGTCCCCAGAACACACACACACACACATACCATGTATACATCACTTCAGGGGACATTACATTGACTTACATGCATTTCCTGGAGACTTATCCTAACCTTAACCATAACCAACACATGCCTAACCCTAACCCTTACCCTAATCCTAACCCTAACCAAGTCTTCATCCTAAAATTAATGATTCCCCTCATGGGGACCTCCAATTTGTCCCCATAAGGGAGGCGAGTCCCCACACGTGACTGTGTAAACAGATTTAGGTCCCCACAAGTATAGTAATGCTAGGCCACACACACACACACACACACACACACACACACACACACACACACACACACACACACACACGGATCAAGTCTTTAATCTAAAGGACTTTTGACATGCTGGAAATTGAGTGCATTTCTTTCAAGTTTCTGAAGAAACTGAGTTGATTGTGTGGAGGTATATCTTTAGCTTACTCGACCTAAAATGTGCAATTAGCCAAGATTGATCCTTTCACTGATGCAGGAAAAACTGCATGATGCGTCAGTGAACTATCATGCTTACTCTCTGACTCAAAGGCCCTGAGTCACGAACACACAAAGTCAGTCCTGCACGCATAGGGGGCTCGGCCACAGGACGGAGGCTTCTGATGTTCAGAGCTGAATCCTTCTTTTGATCCTTTTCTTGTCTCGTCTTTGCATCTCAAAGCTGTTGTAGTTGATGTCTGCGTGTGTGTGTGTTAGCTTTGGCATCACCTGAGACATGTCACACTTCTCCAGAAAGCGCCTCTTAGCGCCAGTAGAATGTGTGAAAACATGTCGTGAAACAACCTTGTTTTTCTTTACCCATGTCGTTCGAAATTGCCAGTTTGTTCTCAGGCGGAATATAAGAGCGTCTCCTCTGCTTCAGGCATCTCACACTCCCCCGTCACGCTGCCACAGCTTTCACTTCCTCCAGTCAAAGGTCAGGGGGTCAGCGGCCCTGCTGAGGGTCAGGTACGGCGTGTTTCTTCGCCAGCAGCCTCCCGATGTGTGGTCTGGTTTGTTTAATCTGGCATGTGGCTTTACGAGAACTAGCATGCCGTGTGTTGGTGTTCTAGGTTTCTCACAGTGAGCCAGATGAACACTCGTAAGCATCCTCATAAACACCCGGTGTATCTCACCCAGTGGACTTCATAACTACAAGCTTTCAGTTGCAGAGGTTATTTAAAATATAACCTATGTATATATATTATTAAAGACTTTGAGACATATTGAGGATAAACCCACTCATTCTTTGGATATTACAACTCTGCAAGATTGCATTTTTCTCGTCAAATTTGCCAAGAAAACACATAATTTACTTCACCCTACAACAGGAGTCTCAAACTCAAGGCCCGGGGGCCAAATCCGGCCCGCGACTTCATTTTATGTGGCCCCACAAGAGCTTGCAAAGAATATAATAAGTGTATTATATGGTTACATGCCACTTTACAGAAGCAGGTTGCCCATAAACTACATGTCCCACAATGCATCTCGTTTTGTGACATGCTACCAATTATTTGCCCTGGACTTCTGCTTTCAGACGTAGTTAATTACTAAGTTATTATCCTATCCCATAATAATCCAATTCAGAGGCAATAATGTAATATAATACATTATTTTATATATATATATTATATAAAATAATATAGTTACAATAGGCCTTTGAGTGCAACCTTTATGCGAATGTGGCCCGCGATGAAATTGAGTTTGACACTCCTGCCCTACAATGAAGAGGAATGCATTGGAAAATCAGAAAGAAACATGCAATTCAGTTACTTTTAAAGCTCAAAAAACAACTTCAAACATAAACAGCCTTTTTCCAAATACTTTATAATTGTATGATAAAAACATGTCTGCCTAATTTCCAAAAAAAGAACACTCATTAAGTGTAAACGTAACTCCTAAATGATCGCTCCCCACTTCTTTCATGTTTCTTTTAAATCTTACATTGTTGAGCAACATATTCAATTGATCCCCATGAACCACATTTGCAAAACATAGTTACAAAATAATGACCTATTGTTATTGTTAAATAATCAAAATTAATACACAAGTTACAATAAATAACCTTAGCATTCAGCTAGTATGGACTCATCTTTGTTTATTTCTGATTTACATGATTGTTATCGATTGTTTACCTGCTAAGACCAAAGGTGCCTTACCTGTTGTATTTGATTATCTTCGTTTTTTTACGTCACTTTTGGGGAAATTAAGCTCAAAATGTGCACTCAAGGTTAACATTGGTTCATCTTGAATCTGGACTTCTTCATCCAGCATGTGCGTGTTGTGAGATTTTAAGAGAACAAAGTAGTGTGTGATTAATTCGTAAATTCTTTTAAGGATTCTGCAAACATTACACTATAGTTTCAAAGTTATACTTGCGCACACAGTGATCAAATACATACAATACAATCCAAAACAGTTCATACAAGACATGACCAAATCACTATGCAATTTAGGAAGAACACAAAACAGTCAGACAACATTAAATTCCTTAGTCTTTAATAAAACTTAAGTTGTTCTGGATAACATAAAGACAGAAACTGAGTGTCTCTAACAGTGTTGACACAAGAGGTCAAATGTATAGATTCCTCAGTAGGCAAAACATTTGAAGGGACATCATCAAAGACAGTCGGCAATACAACAGATTCAAGTTCATTCATAGCAGCCTGACATTTTAAAGGAGGGTGCAATCCGTTTAGATTAGCAGAAGTCTGTCATTGAAAGATGGACGCGTGCTGGGAGCCCCGTCCTCTGCGTCTCGCCCTCAGTGTGTAATGTTACTCTAGTTGTTTTGTCCCAACACTAATGGAGAGAGTGCAGTGAGAGAGATTGATTATGCAACGTGAAGTGCCACAGGGCAGCTTCAATCTGGAAGTGCTTAAAGTACGCAGCCAACCACAGTGATTCCCTCAGGGCAAATTGAAGGAGGCATGATCTGACAAAAAGGAATTTCAATTTGTTAGATGTATTCTTTCAGACAAATGTTTCCCATGCTACTTATATTTGCTAGGTCCTTACTTTTGTAGCGCTGGACATTCTCGTGTAAGCACGCCAACAAGGGGAATTATTTTTGTCTCTGATCTTGATTTGTTTTGTTGTTGTCGAACATTTTGGCTTCTTCAAGTTCAAACGGCTTACATTATTCAGAACAAAGCAGCAGTAAATACTTTGGAGCCGCTGATGAAACATAAAGAGAACTCCTGTCCTTATCGTGAAATCTCGCTCCTTAAAAAACCTTTTTCTCGAAACACAGAAGAATGTTAACTAGTGTTTGGGTTTTTTTATACAATAAGCTGTATTCTTCTGAAATTAGCAGGTCACGTTCATTAATCATAGCGTCTGAGGGCTGCTTTGAACTATCAGGCCAGGTCATTAAACTCGGTCTGTCTGGGGCGAGAGCGGGCGACACGGAAACACTTTGGAGAGCGCTGGTTCACCCACAAGACACACTGATAATGACCTGTGTGTGTGTGTGTGTGTGTGTGTGTGTGTGTGTGTGTGTGTGTGTGTGTGTGTGTGTGTGTGTGTGTGTGTGTGTGGTGTGTGTGTGTGTGTGTGTGTGTGTGTGTGTGTGTGTGTGTGTGTGTGTGTGTGTGTGTGTGTGTGTGTGTGTGTGTGTGTGTGTGTGTGTGTGTGTGTGTGTGTGTGTGTGTGTGTGTGTGTGTGGTGTGTGTGTGTGTGTGTGTGTGTGTGTGTGTGTGTGTGTGTGTGTGTGTGTGTGTGTGTGTGTGTGTGTGTGTGTGTGTGTGTGTGTGTGTGTGTGTGTGTGTGTGTGTGTGTGTGTGTGTGTGTGTGTGTCACAGATGGCCAAGTTTCTGAGTGCTGCTATCAACTCAGTGTGGGCTTAATTTGGAGGAATAACAACATGAGATGGGAGCAAGGAAAGGTCGCAAGGGTGGGAGAGGGGATTTGTGGTTCTGTATGAAAGGTTAGGCGTCCTGTGAGCAGGAGTGTGCAAAGCCACTTTTGTAGTGACAATGTCAGTTGAAGTGTGTTGAGAGAAAATAGGCGAAAAGAGATTGTTGAATGTGTGTGTCTTATCTTTCCCTCTCCATCCCTCTTTGTTCTTTCTCTCCATCTGCTTTGTGGCCTTTTAAGAGCTGTCCTCCTCGCAAACATCAGAAAGTGAAATCCTACCCTCTGATCATCGCTCCAACACGGCTAAAA